ATTGGAGGGCTTTAGTTGGTTTGTATGCTACAGTGATGCCGTGTACTTGTAATAGTCTGTTGGTTATTTCTGAGATGTTTCTGATGTATGGCAGTGTGATCCTTTTCATAGCTTGTGTTGGTTGTGCTATAGTGGTCAGGCCCTTTTTGATAAAGTTGCGTGGATATCCATTTTGTTGGAAGATGTTGTATAGGCAGTCTGCTTTTTTATGGTGTTCTGGGTTGCTGCAGTGCATTTGTACTCATCTGAGTAATGTTCTTACACAGCCCCTCTTGTGGGAGGTTGGGTTGTTACTTTGGTAATGGAGCACTCGGTTAGTGTGGGTTGTTCTTCAATAAACTTGTGTTGCTAATTTGCCATCGTTTTCTCTGCTGATGAGGATATCCAGGAAGGGTAGTGTTGTTGTTTCTTCCCTTGTGAATTTTATTCCTTTGGAGATGTTGTTTCATGCATCTTCTCTAGTTGTTCCTTTTTCATGATGACAAAGGCATCATCTATATACCGGATCCATGCTTTTGGTTCTATGTGTGGGATGGCTATAGCTTATACAAGCTAAACTAAGCTATAGCTATATAGAAGCTAAGCTACAGCTATAAACTAAGAAGGAAACAAAAAGACCAGGACACATCTTCTCCAGCAGTCAACACACAGATAAGCAGGTTGGCCGTGGCACAGGCTTGAGGCAGCACTCCTTGGTGGTGGTAGCAGCACTGGGGCTGAAGTAGAGGACCTGGGGCAATGGCAGCCAGCTGAGAATGCTGAAGGCCCCAGGCCTCTACTTCAGCCCCAGTGCTGTCGTCAAAGAGTGCTGCTATGCAGGACAGCCAAAGGGCAGAGATGGAGGGAGGGGGGAGATAGGCAGGTGGGGGGAGGTGAAGCGCCCCTGCGGTCATAGGTTCAGGCAGGCTTTGGATTTTGATCACATGACTGCAGGGGTGCTGCAATGGCTGTAACTTCAGGGACCAGGCATAAATAACATTTGTTCAGTGCCGCCGTAACTTTGAATGGTCGCTGAATGAATGATCATAACTTGAGGACTACCTGTACTCTCAAAGTGGAAAACTTGCAATCTATTCAGCATTAGGACATACTGCCCCTTGTGGCTGCTTTGGGTTAGGGTTAAGCTCCATGGGGAAAATAGGGGAATGCAAACCTCCCATAGCAACACTGCCTCCCTGTGGCTCAGTTAGGTTCAGTATATGGTACCTTGTCCTATTTTCCTCATCCTGCCTGCAATACCACACTAGGCCACCAGGGGGTGGCTACCTTTCCCTTTTTTAATGGGAAAATAGGGCAATGCAGTTGAATTTATAGGAAATACTGCTGGTGATGGCTCACTTGTATATTGCACTCCCAGTGGAGACTTTAGTGCAATGTTCTGAACTGATACCACGTGCTGGGGAACATCAGGCAATGTAATGGTATAGGACATATTGCCCCTGGTGGCTGACTGGGGTATTGCAGCACCCCTATTCTCCAGAATCAAAGGGAAAATAAGGAAATGTTTCCAACGCATAGAACATACACCCCACCCCCATAGCTAAATTAGATTGTACACTAAGGAATAATATGTAAAAATAATTATTAACACACAATTAGGAGAATTGATTTATGTAATCAGCGCATAACATTTTCATAGCATGTATTATTTTATTATAGATTATTAATGCTTCCTGCCCCCCAGTGGATTATATGTGTACTGCAGACTCAATGGGAAAAAAGCAGCAATGCATTGGGCGGATAGGACATACTGCCCTTCCTGGCTGACTTGTGTATTGCAGCCTGAATAGGGATTTAAAAAGCAGGTTGAGCTTGAATCGTACCATTGTGGGTACCATCTTGCCTTTTTTTTTTAATCATACTCTACAGTGCTCTCATCCTGGTGTTCAGCATCTGACTTACTATGAACTTGGAGGAATTGGGCTGGGCTCACCTTCTCCCATATAGATCAGGTAGCCAAGGACTATACCAGCCCCACCAGAGGTATGGCGCTACTGTGGTGACACTTCCAGAGGAGGCAGGGCTGACATTTTGGGGGTGGATGGGGCTTTTAAAAAGGCAAAGGAGGTGGGTGAAGCTTATCAGAGACTTAGCACATTTATTTTGCTTCTTATATGTACAAAATTGAAATTCCATGAACAATTCAGCCTCTTGCTTTCAGATTTCAGCAACAGAATCTGGGAAGTTTGTAGGACCCATAAAAATAGGAATGGGGACTACATGTACACCTTGGATTGCCCCCTCCCCCAATGACTGTCCACAGAGGTTCCTGCTGTATTTTAAGGACCTAGAAAATAAGACCTTGAGGAACTTTCTGCCAACAGGATAGATAGGTGTTTTTCAATCCTGCTTCATTTGGGTGAAAGGAATTATATGAAAAGTCTAGTGTACTTCACTTTCTAAGTGCATTATTCCATTCCTTGTGTGTGAAATGTGTGCATAGGTAAATTTATATATACATTCAGAAATGAGAACTATACGTAAACTATAGCTTTTTCCTACACCATTTCTTACTGACAGCAGTTGAGGATTTCAACACACTTTGTATCAGAAGGTCAAATTTAATCAATTTCCACTGGAGTTACTGTCAGAATGATGTCTTCATTTCCTCGTCTCACCACCATGGCCAGGGTATGGTTGTTCTGTACGGCGTCTGTTACATCATGGGTTGAAGCGACTTGTTTCCCATTTATTGCTATAATGACATCACCATCTTTCAGGCCAGCACTGTAACCAAAATTAGGCAGTGTGTGTGTGTGTGTTTTAAATCATGAGCAAAAGAAATGTACTGATAAGATCCATCATCATGGCCAAAAGAACAGATAGCCCTAGCTTACCCAAGATCAGGACCATTTCAGATCAGCTTCTTGATCAAGTAATACACATGCTTTGTAAAGAAGCCAGCATTTTGGCAGCATGGTTTTAGGAACTGTGGTGCTGATGAAAGCCTTACTCTCCTTCCTCTACATCTGGTCAGGAAATACCCATAGGAAACTCAGAACCTATTGACATGAGATGTCTTCGTGTAAAAGTGATGTTGAAACCAAGGATAGTGAAGAGTGCCAAAAAGTTCTCTTTAAACTATGGAAGATATCAAATGTGACACAATGCCAGCAAATGTGTTGCACTGAAGGGTGTTTGAGATGGCCAAGCCTGACCCAGAAAGAAGTGTAAGTGCTGTGGATAACTCAGTGAAATGTGGCTGAGTTCACCTGTCATGATAACTCCTGGACTTCTGAAATAATGTTGGTTCAATAAACTCAACTGGTTGGGCTTGGATGTCACACTAACGCAGAAAGAGTAGTTTGGAGACCCCAGTGGCTACTTTTACACACTGTGTTAAGCCAAAATCAAGCAAAATAAATTGTTGGCTTAGTGTAATGTGTGAACCTAGTCAAGAGAGAGACTTCCAAAAGGGGTTCAGAGAAGCCAGACAAGTCTTTGTGCAGTCTTTGATTTGCACCCTGTTCCAAGATAAAGTATATGGTAAACTCCTTTGACTGTTCTTTTTTTTAATCAAAAACAACATAGAAAGGAAGTAAATAATGCTTTGGAATGTGGGGTCCTTGGTGCTCTCTGAGCTTGGTTATTTGCTTGCAGACGTTTCATTACCTGACTAGGTAACATCATCATGATGTTACCTAGTCAAGTAATGAAACGTCTGCAAGCAAATAACCAAGCTCAGAGAGCACTAAGGACTCCACAGTTCAACCTGGACCTACATATATTCTCTTCTGTTGAAAGTTTTGGAAGCAAGCATTCATCTCTTACCTTGCAGCAGCTGTTCCTTGTATCACTTCATAAACATAGACACCCGAGGTCAGGTTGGGAAAATCCCGATCATGCCGTCTCAGCTCACGGATGAGACTAAGAGGGAGAGAATGACAGCTCCACCACCAGAAACTGCAAATTCTTACCAGATATTTCAGGTTATGACACTATAGTACGCTCTTCCAATCTTTCCCGGTCCTGTCTCCACAACATATATTAGGATAACAATTCCCACCCTAGTTAACACAGCCAGAGGCGAAGACACCTGAAAGGTGCTTGGTGCGGAAAGGCCTACAGATGACATATCCTGGCAGGTGTAAATATATAACAGGTGTAACACCTTTCTAACTTCCTCAGAAACTCCCAAAGTGATAGAAATTAATGGATGTTAGAAGAACCATTCTGGGTGCCAAAGAGTGTGGCAAATTGTGGGAGTAGCCTGATGGGTAAGCATGCACCAGGGGCATCCATGAAGGGATTGTCAAGGTGGCAAGTGCAACTGTGCAATCAGAGTCCCACCTTTTTTGTGTGTGTGTTACCCATCTATCATCTTGACTGTATTGACACTTCCACACCCCATGGTCTCTCTGCCTACTTGGGTTAAAGTGGCACTTCACCAAATGTTAATTTTACTTGTTTAGAAAAGAGTTAACTTACCTTTATCTGTAAAAGCAAAATGTTTAAAAAGTACAATAAATGGCAAACAATTAACACTATCCCAAACCACTCAGAAGGCAGAGCAGCACCAGTTTAACCAAATGCCTGGGTGAACAGTCATATCTCTTATAATGCGTTAGGTTTGTACTTCTGATGTTCTATTATTTATTCTGTGTTGTTTAAATTGCTACACAGAATAATAATCCAATAAATGATGAGATGTAGCAAGCAGCTAACTGTTATATAAGTGAGAAGTGATTTGAGATGCCAATTTCAAGGCAACAGGTAAAGAGCAATATGGCTGAAACCACCAAATGCTAAGTGAAACCAACACCCCCAGGTCCAGATGACCCCTCTTAGCCTTTTGGAAGTCCTTGAAGACCTGGCTGTTCCCCCAGGCATTTGGGTCAGGGGGGAGATGAGCTCTGCTACTATTAATGGTTAATAGTTAGCCATTTATCCTTCTGTTCTTTGGGGGGGGGG